CAAAAAATAAAAAATACATAAAGTTTATAGAAAATTTTGGATATATTATTACAATCATTATGATTATCTAGAATTGCAACGTGATTTGCATGTGCACACTTACACTTGGACCTTAATCAGATCATCTGATTTGCTTATTAAAAGGATGTAGGTTATAACATATGAAACTGAAATAATTGGATAGGATTCAAATCAGGTTTCGGTATCTTTTGAGAACCCTAGTTATTGCCATTTGATTTTACCACATTTAAATGGAAAGTGGAGAAGTCTTGAGTTCAAAAGGGACTCTAAATAATGCCCAAATTTGATAACGTATCCCAGTTCTATTGATTTTGGCATTTTCACTGTTTTAGTTGGCACCCTTTTGATCTCGTGATGAATTCAGCTTCGATCAGTGCAATGCCCTTTCAAACAGCCTTTACAACCTTACATTGGGAATATCTTTCATACTTATGCGCCTTATTTCATAGGAAGATACTTCCAATGCAAGGTTGCAAGAGGCTATTCGAACGGTATGAACAGAGACTTGCCTTGACTGAAGCCGAACTCTCTTGTGATGTGGGTGTTCTAAACATTCCAAAATAGTTACACCTTGCAACTATAGATAATAGACTAAGAGAAGTACTTTTAAATTTTGTACTCACATAATTTGATTTTGCTATATGTATGGTTTGTTATAGGTTTGGCTCAACCCGAACCCAGTCTGACTAAAACAATACTATGTACATGAATGTCTCATGGGTGGGGTTTATTACAAGTCACAAGTCACAACGACATGGACCTCACCTAAAAACTGACCAAGGCTGATCCAATCCTAACCCAATAGGTCAAATCATTTTGGGTTTACCATTAAAATGCCCTGGTAATTTTTTTTCCTCTTTTTAGATAAGTAAAACAATCAAAAGTCAAAACATTAGTTTTTTATTTTTGTGGTCAATCAAAACATTATCTATTTATAGAAATTAAAGCTGAATCTACATCTATAGCTAACCATTGCTCTATAACACCAAACCACTTGAGATCCACAGGTAGGCCTATAAACGGAGTGAATTCAAATCAAATCATGTTATATTTGAATTTGAATTCGATTGCAAAACTGATGATTCGAATTCGGTTAAATATTCGACAGATATTCAAAAGTAAAAATTGAATTCGAATTCGACTTAGATAATCGAATATTTGGTTAATTCAAATTCGATGTATTAAACCTAATTCTTGAAACCAAACGATAGAGCACTCTCATTCCCTTTGAATGAACTACAGAGAAAGGAGAAAAATCTTGTTTCATTTTTACAAATCTATGGAGACAAACCTAATTCTATGAATGATGAAGACAAATGAAGAATAAGGGGAAAAAATAAAAAGAAAAACAAAAAACTAATAAAATATAGAACAAATGTTAAGTCTTCGGTAACCTAGAGAAAGCAAGAGAGATGAGGGAGGGGAGAGAGAGAAGAGAAAGAAGAAAATATATTGTTTCATTTTTAATGATCTATGGAGACAAACCTGTTTCTATGAATGATGAAGATAGATGAAGAACAAGGGGAAAAATAAAAAGAAAACAAAAAACTAATAAAATTTAAAATAAATAATAAGTCTTCGGTAACATAGAGAAAGCAAGAGATGAGAGAGAGAGAGGGGGGGGGAGAATAGAGGCTTTTACAATATTTTTGTATGCTGTAAAATCAATGAATAATAGCTACAACCATGACTGTAACACTCTTTTGCTTCTTTAATACATGACCTTCTTTGCCTTTAATATATGCTATTCATATTTTTGAAATCTTTTATGAAAAAACCAGTAAAACCAGGCGCTAGGGAAGAAGACAGAAGGGAGGGAAATGGGGAATTTTGAAATTGGCTAAAGGTCAGAGATGAAATGGAATAGGTACTAAAGGGCGGAGTAGGTTGTTTTGGCAGAACTTATCACTTGTCAAAAAGTTTGTATCGAGTGGTCTAATCATGCTAGGAGTAATTAATTCTCCTTTTTATATAATAATGTATCTAACATCAAAAAGTTATAGACACTTTGGCGGTTTGGCCGAGTTTTGAAGATATTTATCTTTCTTTTATAAAAAATCATGACACTTATAAATATTATATTATATTATATTATAATAATGAATTCGGTTAATTATCGAATCAAATCAATGTGTATTCGAATTTGATTCGATAATATAATCGATACATGATGTATATTCGAATTCGACCGTCCACACTAATCGAACTATTCGAATTTGGTTTGATTGCTTTCGATATCGAATTCAAATTTTTCATTACTGTTGACACCCCTATCCACAAGATTTAGCTTCCTATTTAATATGATGAATACATATAACACTAGAACATTCCCAAATGTTTTTTACAGAATTATGTACTTTTTCATTTTTTGTGTTTTATATATTTTTTAATATTTTTATTCAATTATAACATCATGAATTTCTTACAAAAGTTTGATCATTGACCCACCATCTAGTAAGGAAATAGCTTTTCTTTCATATTAGTTTTAAATTATATATTTCATCTACATCATATAAATAATTTTTACTTTTCACACTTACTTTTTGGTTTAACATAATTGATATATAATTTTTTATATATTCATTTGATTACTTGTACTTTTTTATTTTTAAAGATTTATTATTTAACTTTCATATTTTCAATTTATCCATTTGACCCAAATCACTAACCCAACACCCAAAAAGAAAAATAGTTTGACTTCTAGGTTGACATTAAACTTTCCATCATTTCTTATGTACAATACTTATTTTTGTTCAATACAATAAATGTATAATATTAGAGGTGTACCCAATATTTTATTTTTATAAATATATAATATTAGATATGTGCCCAAAATTGTCTCTAGTTTTTATTTTTGTGATTCTTTGTATTTTCTATTTTTAAAAATTTTATTATTTGACTATGACATCATTTCATTTTAGGTTGATTTTAAATTTAGCATTCCATTTTCATCATTAATAAAAATACTTCTTACATTTCATACTTACTTTTGTTTAGTATAATGAATAAACAATATTAGAGATATGCCCAATTGTTTTTACTTTTTTGTGTTATATATTTTAATTTTTTATTATTTAATTATGACATTATTTATTAACTCATTTGACCCCAAATGGTTGAATTGCTTAACCACTACGAGATGGGAAGAAAATGGTTTTATTTTCAAATTACTTTTCAAAATATTTATATTTATACTATTAAAATTTATGTTGTGGATTTTATTAATATAATTTAATGATGAGAAAAATATATCTTAAATATAGGATTTAATGAGAGAATGCACCTTAGATATGAGATTTAATGAGAAAGAATAGGAAAATAGTTTTATTTCCAATTGGTTTTAAATTTTACATTCAATTTTCAATATTAATAAAATCATTTCTTATTTATCATACTTATTATTGTTTAATATGCCAAATATATGATGTTAAAAATGTTTCCAATTTTTTTTTTGATTTCTATAGTTTTATGCATTTTATATTTTTGAATTTTATTATTTAATTGTAGCAATATGGGTTAGCCCATTTCACCCAAAATAGTTTAATTTCTTATCACCACCTAGATGAAAACACTATTTTTTTTCAAGTAGATTTTAAAAGTATAAGTTTTTATGTTATTGGAATTATTATTTTATTATGTATGTATTTAATTAATAGAATTTAATGTTGAGAAGAAACAAAAATGCATTAAATATATGATTTAATGAAAGTGAATTCAAGTTAATACCTTAAATGTTGGATGTATCTAATATCTTAAAATTAATTATTTTCAACTCATTTAGTATCAATAATTGATTACCCTATTTGCTCTCATTTTTATCAATAAATTTAAATATGGATGAGACAAAATTATGGAAATTTTCTTGAGGCTATTCGTGCTTTTTAAGTTAGTATAGATTTGTATACATTTTCTAGTGTATCCAAGCATTTTGATATCTTTCATCTGTACCTATGTGTTTTCAAAGAGTATCTGTATCTGTTTGATATGATACCTAATACTAATACTTTGATTTGGTTTAGCTTTCTACTAATACGCTTGGCACTCGGTGAGTGAGAATGTCAACTTCGATGCACGAGATTCAGAAGTGTGATGCATGATTGATCCATCCATGTAAAGGACATACCATCTAAAACCCAAGAAGGGAATTGGTTGTTAGTAGAAAATGGACTCTTGCTCAAACATTAATAGAAGCACAACACATGAAGGAGTTCACAAAATAGATGGGATAAAGAGAAACATAAACATGGAAACTCGGGATCTTAAAACACATTGAAGTAGAAGTAATGTCATCTAGCCACTTTGTAAACATGGAAACTCAGCCTACAGAGCTAGTTACCTTTACCCTGTTCCATAGTTTTGCAAATAAAGAAAATGGATAATGAAGGGTTTCTCTTCTATTATGAAATTCAAGGAACCAGAACAAGAATGACAGCGGATGTCCTATGTCCAAGCGGTGGTTACATTATACTAAGAGAAATGTCATTCAACCCCCAATGTTATAGAACTTTTAGTTTGTATCAAGGCCTTGTTCGCTTTTTGGTAAGTTACTTACCCATATTCTTTTATTTCCTAGGTAAATAAGGCAATGACCATTTTAGCCATAGAAATCCATTATTAAAAGGGGCATTTTGTCCCATTCAAGTGTTGGCAACTTTCCCCCTATGTGGGAAAGTTATTTACCCACCTAAGAGATGGGTATCACTTTCTTGGATAAGTGATAGTGTGATACCTAGGAAAATAAACTTTCCCTGATCCCTAAAGCTGAAAAAAGAACATAGAATTCTTGATCAATGGGAACCAAAATCCCATTGACCAACTTTCCCCCCTCTCAAAATCCAAAAAAAGAACACCCCCTCATTGTTTCAATAAAAATGGCTAAAAAGTGAAATGGTGTGCATGCCTACTTTATTTGAATTACATCTACAATTTACACAAAGATGGCAATCCTTATACTCCCAACAAATAAGCAATTGGAGTACATCACTACAATAACTTGTTCTTGGGACTCTCTCCCTTTTTTCCCTCTTTAAATCCTTCCATTTTTTTGACTCGAATCAGATCAAGTACATGAATTATGCATCCAACGATTATAAAAATCACAAACAAATAGTAAAACAGTGCAATACAAACCATGAAGATGATCTTCTTAGTTCACTTTAGGCTTCCTTCTTCACCTGGACCAATGACAAACTCAGACTTATGGTCAAATTTTTCCCAGGATCTAAGAAACTCAGACAGTTCTCCCGTGATAGATTTTTGGGTTTCATCATCATCATAATCAGCATCATCATCATCTTCAAAAACCAGAGAAATCCCATACTTCTTCAACTGAAGACCATGAAACCTTGGTGGGTCTCGCACTGCAACCTGTATTCTATCACCATCTCTTAACAAGGAAACCAATGGCTGGTAATCAAAAAATCGACATATGTAGACTTGATCGATCTGGGTTTTTGGAACTCCTAGCAGATACAATGTTTTTGTGAATATAGGCTCTGGTCCATCCCTGAGAATACTTGCTTGAATGTCCACTATTGCTGGAACTTTATTTCTAAAATTATCCTCTACTTGTTGGTCAAGAGAAAGCACCACATAAATAATCACACCTTCGAGCTTTTGGTTTTTGCGGCTTGAGAAAATCATCACTTCCTGGCAAAGCCAGTCTGGGATTTCATTTCCAGGAACACTCAGGTAGTTTATACGCCTCAAAGTAGCCTGCAATGAAACCATGACTTAAGAAATAAAATTTACAGGTGTGCAGGTGGCTGCTAAGTTCATGTTTAGATTCCTAACTTGTTGTGGAATTATCACACATGTTTCACAAATGCTAGATCAATGCCTTTTTTTTGCAATGCAAAAAAATAAAAAAATCATTTAAACCAGAGGGAGAGAGAGAGAGACCTTTGGAAACCTCTGAACAACAGAATGGCATGAGTTGCAGCCACTCATGTACAACCTTCTCAAGGACTTCAAGCATTCAAGGCCGGGAATATCCATTAATTTCTCACAATTCGTAAGGTTCAACTCCTCCAAATTCCTCAAGTTTGACAGATCAGGTAAACTTTTCAAAGCAGTACAATTTGAAACATCAACTTTAGTTAAACTTGCAGGCAGTGGAGGGAGAGATTTGATCTCTATGCAATGAGTCAGTAAAAGATCTGTGAGAACAGAAAGGCCCCTCAGGCTTGATGGAAGGCTGTAGATAGCACTGCGGCTTAGATTCAGAATCTCCAATGATGACAACTTTTCAAAATCATCAGGAATTACATTGGATAATTTACAAGATGAAGCATCCAAAAGCTGTAAAGAAGAGAGGTTTGAGAAAGAAATTGGCAGAAGAAAAGGCTTAGGATTCAGTTGATGTTTAAGATGCATGCGTTTTGTCATTTTCAATACTCTTAGATTTGAAAGCATCCCAAATTCTTCTGGCAATTCCGCTACACCAGTTTCCTCCATTAAAAACTCATGCAAGCCATTTAATTTTCCAATTGAAGCTGGTAATTTGCTTAGCTGTTTACATTTGTTTAGATTCAATCTCTTGAGATTGTTCAGTAACCCAATGGACTCTGGTAACTCTGTTATGAGGGTTTCATTCAAGATTAGATTAGTTAAACTAGAAATGTTTCCAATTGTATCTGGTAAATGGCTAAGCAGTACACAACTTCTCATATCAAGTTCCTCAAGCATTTCCAGAGTTCCAATCTGATCCGGAAGTTCTGTAATTGATGTTGCCTCCAGATGAAGCTCAACTACAGATGTCAAGCCTCCAACTGAAACAGGCAATTTGCTAAGAAATTGACAGTAGCTAGCTGATAAGAGCTTCAAATTTGATAATACACCAATGGAACCTGGTAGTTCTCTGATGGAACTATGGTCAAGAAAAATTTTTGATAATGATTTTAGATTGACAATGGAATCAGGAACTGCAGTGAGTAGTTTACACCTCACTAAACTAATTGTTTCAAGGTTCGTTAGAAACCCAATGGAATCAGGTATTTCTTGTATAACCAAACCATTAAGTGAAAGATCTTTTAGAGAATTCAGTTCTCCAATGGAATTGGGCAGCTGTTGCATTGACACACATTCATCCAGGATCAACCTTTCCAGTTTTGTTAGGTGGCAGACAGAATCAGGTAACTTCCTTATAGCAGTCCCACCAACAAGTAGCTCTGTTAAAGACTTCATGGGCTTCAAATCTTCTGGTAAGTCTTTTAGCTTAGAGCAATCAGAGAGGATAAGGATTTTGAGGTTTCCCAATCCAGAGATATCATTTGGAAATTCCTGAAGATTTGAGCAGCATCTCAGGTTCAAGAGAAGTAACATGCACAGTTTCCCAACTGATTTATGGATCTTCATCAGTCCTGAACAATTCTCAAGAATAAGTTTTTCTAAGTTCAGGTACCAAGAGAAATCAGGTGTAGCAATTAGTTTATGGCAACTGTGGAGATTCATAACCTTCAGCTCCTTAGCCATCTGTCCAATAGCCAGGTTTTCAGTTATAATTAAAGAAATAGCAAGTTATACAAGGTTTACTTCATCAAGGGTTACATGTCAAGTTGTGATATATGAAAATTGTTCTCTACAAAAAAATAAGAAGTAATAATCAGAGTAATTAAAATTTTGAATTATGAAACAGTGAGAACTTACATTGCACTGGATTTGCCACCATTTCTGGTCCCATACTTGCCTGATTTTGCTCTCTGAGAGATCAAGGACAGCAAGTTCCTGAGGACAAAATTCAGAAGGAAGAGCATCCAGCTGGCATCCTTTCCATTGTAGCCATTTAAGGTTAGTAAGTATAACTTTAAAGCTCCCTTCCAAATTTACATGATTGATTTGAAGAAGTCTTAGATTAACCATGGGTTCTAATCCTCTGGTGCATACTTTTCGCTCCTTTTTATCTTTCACTCTTCCATGATTAAAGAGATTCTCAAAATTTTTCTTGAAGTTTGTAGTTGATATTCTATGTCTGGTGGTATTACAAAATTCATCAGACTCCTTTCTGTTTTCTTCAGTAAAGTCAAGGGTGATGCCTTGGGTTCTATCTGTCCCCTATAGAAATTCATATATGAAATATTTTAAAACCAAACTTTGAAAGGAAAATGAAAGTCAATTTCCTTATGTTTTAACTAAGAAGAACAAGATAGACGATTTGATGTGCATTCAAGGAGTATCTTTGATAATACAGGGTGAATTGTCCTTGGAATAAAAAAAATAATAAAAAAAACAATAGGATTGTAGTTATATAAACAAAAACTAAGTGAATATGCTCCATCTTATTTGTGGCAAGAAAGCAGCATCCAAATCAATTCTTTTTTAGTTCTTCTGAATTACAGAGAAAACCAGAAAAGGAATTAAGCGTTGAGTTGGAATCTGCCATCTTGAAAGGGATACCAAATATGGCAAATACAACAAGATGCAGAAACAGGGCTGCAAACAGATTGGATATGCATGCCTAGATCAAAATTTTATCCATTAATATTCAATTCAAATAGAATCTTATCTGTTAGATTCGGATGAGACTCGGAACAAATTTGGATATTGAATACCATTAATAAATTAAACAAAAAAAAGCAGAACATTATCAATGAAGTAAACTAAAACCAATTTTGGTATTGTTTATCATGACTAAACATATAATATTCAGATATTATATTCAGATTGGATCATAATAGATTGGATGGGGATATGATTATTGACAACGAAAGTTTTCTAAATATGCAAGAAGTATGTATTTACTAGAAGTTGAAAAGAATGCAACTTTCTATACCCCCTCCCAAAAAAAATAAAAAAATAAAAATAAAAATAAAAAAATACAACCTGTCCATTGTTAATTTTCATGAGAGCAATTTTTTTGATGCTTCCTCCTTTTCCATCATAACAGCTACTGTCGTCACCATGAACATTACCTATAGTTTCTGTGTGTCTGTTTGTATGGATATATGTGTATGCGCATGGGGGGTGTCTATGTACATGGATATGTATTCGTGCATGTGTATCTATGTGTCTGCATGAGAGAGAGAGAGAGAGAAGAGGAAGAAAGAAAAAAGAAAAAAAATAACAGGAAAACTAGAATGCAGGTGAGTTCTATGGTTTCAAATGAACTTTTTTTTCTTAATTTCTAGCTAGTACTGTGGTATGGCTCAAAAAAATAATTAAGGCAAAAGCTATTTTTTCCAATTACGTGCATATATCTGTTAAAATTATAAGTTGTAAAATAAAAGCTAAATTACAGAGCAAAACAGGCAACAGAATACCTTTTTAGAGCTCAAAACTTCCATTATTTCATCCTTATCCCACAATCTACTATGCATACCAGGATCTTCAGGACATTCTCCTCGAACAATTTGCTTTCCCGTATCTCTAAGCTGATCATGCATCCACAAAGCATTGTCATTGTCAATCTTAATGAGGGATTTTCCTCTAAGAATTGCAATTGCTGCTTCAGCATGGAAGCCACATCCTTTCCATATATCAATAGCCGATTCTCTGCTCATTCTCATGCTAGCAAAGAAACATGCAATATCAAGGAAAATGCATTTGCATTCTTTATCTAGCCCATCATAACTTATCTTTAACACATCATGAAGGTCACCTGGACGGATCTGTCTTAATTTCTCCAGTGCATCTTCCCACTGATCTTTCCCTTTCTTATCAAACATAAAGGCACCAAATACTTCTAGTGCCAAAGGTAGTTGTCCTGTGAGGGTTACAATTTCTTCAGTTATATGCATGAGAGTTTCTGCAGGCTTCTCCCTTCCAAATGCATGATGGCTGAAGAGTTCAAGTGACTCTATGAGATTCAACTTTTGCACTTCATAGATCTCATGAACTTGATGCCTTGCTAAAACTTGACTATCTCTTGTGGTGATAATGATCCTACTTCCCTCATAAAACCAATCTCTCTTGCCTACTAGAGCATCAATTTGGCTTGTGTCATCAACATCATCTAGCACAACAAGAACTCGCTTCATGTGAATGCACCCTTTTATAATAAGGATTCCACCACTAACCTCTTCTACAACTTGCTCACCTTTTGGGAAAAGATCATGAAGAAGTATGTTTTGAAGGGAGACTAAACCATTGGGGTTTTTTGAAGTTTCTCTGACATTTGAAATAAAGCTACAATGCTCAAAATGAGTAACCATCTTATTATACACAGCCCTTGCCAGAGTTGTCTTGCCAATCCCACCCATCCCATGAAATACCACAATTCGGACGTCATGAGATTTAACATCTAACACCTTCATTAGCTCTTCTACACGAGAATTAATCCCAACAGGATATTTGGCCACATCTAAGGGAGTATTACTTGATATGGTCAAAACTTTTTCAACCAAATCTTTTATCAACTGTGGTTCTTGGCTGTCAAAAAAATAAATAAATAAGAAAAACATAGACATAACGGAAACAATTGAAACAAATGTTCTAATGCAGAAAAGCAAACAAAGATTTGCATTTGCTAAAATGATGGTTTCCATGATGAAAAAGATTCACTTGTTAGTAATATTTTTTTTTTGTAATAAATAAAAAAGAAACCTTATTAGGAAAATGGAAAAAGAGTACAATATAGGTGATAAGGAATCACCAACCTCCAAAAAAGAAAAAGCCCCCCCATAACCATCACCTTCAATCTCAGTGAAACAAAATTACTCCAACCAAACAAAAAAAAAAAAAACTCCCAAACCAAACTGAACAGCCCACTCACCAGATAAAGCCCACCCAACTAACTACAAAACTTAACACCTCATGCAGCTGATGCCTCCCTACAACTTAATATGCTTCAACTTAAACCATTGTAGAAAAGTTGCCCAACTATTCATCTCTTCCATTGGATTGAACAGAAAACTCTTAATGTCTCTGTTGAAATAACTTAGTTTTTTTTTAAGTTTAGTGCCACAAGGGCACCTTTGTAATTTTCTCCTTTATTTTTTATGTATGGTCGCCCAAGTATATATACCAAAATAAACTGGCACCGCCAGTTGACTTTTGCCTCTTTCAATTCTGTCTCATTTCTCTCTTTTCTCTTTTCTCTCTTCTCCCTTCTCCTTCTCTTCTCACTGTTCTGGAATCACACCATCTCAGCACCAAGAAAACATGGCATCAGAGCGCCAGATCCAATCTTAGGACCAGGGCAGCACTTCTTTCCTTTTCTGTCTATTGGTGGTCGAACCAAAGAACAAGATCTCTGGTGGACGTGTGAGGAAACTCACTGCAAGACTGTTCCTTTTGCTTGGTTGTGAGCCCAGAAACTATCAGAAAGAAAAAAATCGAATGCTGTGACTTTTTTTTTTAGTTTTTTCTTCCTCAGTTTGTGGATCGAACTGATCCTTTTTTGTACCTAGATGTATGGGTTATGTGGGTCTAATGACCTGCGGCTGGTGTGAGAGTATTTTCTCTCATTGTATGTGGATAGAGTGATCCCTTTTTTGCCCAGAAAGGTGTTATTACTTCAAAGTTACAGATCTGTAACTGCTGTGAGAGGAGATTATTTTCTTCTTCTACCCATATAGAAGCTAAGCTACTGTGTGAAAGCTGTTTTGTTGCTGGAGAGAATGGTCAGATCTGTTTTTTTGATACTCCTTACACATCTGAAATGGTGTGTGATCAGTCTGAAAGGGTTCAGTAGGGCTGAAATCTGAGAACAGTAATGGTGTGGGTCCAGCTGTGATTTCCTTGAGTGAGAACAAGTTTTTCTTTTGTGTCCAGAAGTGTAGCTGAACTGGAAACTTGATCACATTGCTGCAACCTGTTTTTGACTGTACTGTGGATCTGAAGTGAATTAAAAAACGTGTTCTCTAGCTGGTTTGTGACTGATCAGATTTAGCTTCCATGTCTTCGGAAGATTCTGGTATGTCTGGTGTTACCTCTAGTCAGAGTGGGATGAGCAGAGGTTTTGACATGAGTTTTCCCATGGCTGTGATTCCCTTTATGGCCTTAATTACCTAGAATGGTCAAGGGGAATCAAACTTTACATAACTGCAAGGGGAAAAGCAGGATATATCAATGGTAGAATTAGAGAACCCCAGTCTAGTGGTGTGGAACATGATAAGTGGGACCATGAAAACAACATGGTGATGTCATGGCTGTTATTGTCTATGCTGCCACAAGTGAGAAAGACCTTCATGTGGGCAGAAACAACTCATGAGATATGGGAGCAGGCACAATCTACATACTCCGAACAACGGCATTATGCTAAAATATATCAGTTGTAGGCTGCCTCCTCAACTTGTAAATACGGGGAGAGGAGTCTCTCCTTCTACTATTTAGACCTGACTTCTGTTGGAAGGAACTCGATCACTATCAGAATATAGATTAGAAGTGTGATGCAAATGCCAAAGCATACAAGTCTCTGGTTTCATAGCAATGAGTGTTTGCCTTTCTCCTAGGGCAGAATCCTATATATGAATCTATCAGGGTTCAGATATTGGGGGGTAAAGACCTCCCATCCGTATAAGAAGTATATGCTCTAGTGCAGTCAGAAGAGAGCAGACATAATGTGATGAACAATCCTAAGGGAGAGCATGTGGCTTTAGCAGCTAAAGGGAGTGTTGCTACGGGTGGTGGAAATTCCTTCAAGAAAAATGACTTCTAGAAGAAAGGCGATAACAAAAATAAGTTATGGTGTACACACTGTTAGAAGTTTAGGCATACTCGGGAGACATGTTCGGAGCTTCACGAGAAGCCAAAGTGGGCTCAGGAAATGAGTAAAAAGCTGGATCAGAATAAGAAGCCAGGACAGTAAGGTCAGAGAAAGTTTAATGCAACAAATTTAGCCTCTCAAGAGCCACAATCATCTACCACCACTATGAGTTCTTCTGGGACTGATTTGAGGGAAGATATCATTAAATTCTTTTCGTGACCATTTAGAGTTGTATGGGACGGCAATCTGCTAGATGGATTCTGTTTCTCCATCCTCGACTTCCTTTGCATCTACATCACGTAGCGGTAATTCTGCCACAGCTTTCCATGTGTCCTCTCATCCCTCAGACTCCCCTTGGATAATATACTTTGGAGTCTCGAACCATATGATAGGTAAGTCCAATTGTTTTCAACCTTATCACCTATTATCTGGTCGGGACAAGGTGAGACTTGTTGATGGTTCTTTCTTCACCATAACTGGTCAAGGAACCATCTCCCTTCCTCTTGAACTCACCCTCTAATGTTCTACATGTTCCTAAACTGCCCATAAATTTGTTCTCTGTTAGTAGTATAACAAATTCGTTGAACCATTCAGTAACCTTTTTTCCTTCCTCTTGTATGATATACGATTTGGTCGGGAAAGACGATTGGTAGAGGTCGTATGGAAGATGGTCTTTACATACTGGAAAATAAAGCTTATCTTGCGGTTATTGAGTCTAAGAGTCTGACTAATAAGAGTCAAGTCCTTTTATGACACATTCGTTTGGGTCATTTATCTTTTGAGTCATTGAAAGTTTGTTACCGTATTTATTTAAATCAATGTCAATTTTGGATTTCACATGTCAAACTTGTCAGTTGAGCAAACATTGTGAAAATCACTACTTCAAGATATAATAAATATGATTTTCCTTTCCATATTGTGTATTCTGATGTATGGGGACCTATTACTTTAGCAACTGAGTCTGGTTATAGATTTTCATTACATTTATTGATGATTACTCTTGATATACTTGGGTGTACCCTATGCGGTCCAAAGATGAAGTGCCAAAAATCATTAAAGATTTTCAACGCTTGATATTCACTCAGTTTCAAATGGAAATCCAAATTTTCCAATCAGACAATGCCAAAGAATATTTCCATAGTGATCGCGCGGAGTTATTTGCCTCGTACGGATCCATACATCGTAGCTCTTGCGCTAGAACCCCCTAGCAAAATGGTGTTTCTGAAAGAAAGAATCGTCATCTCCTTGAAATTGCTTGCAGGTTACTTATACACATGAATGTTCCTAAACGTTTTTGGTTTGATGCTGTGTTGTGTTCTGCCTATCTCATCAACCTATGCCATCTCGCTTGTTAGGGTACAAGGCCCCCCATCAGCTTCTTTTTCCCAAGGCTCCACTCTTCTCTATTCCTATTCGTGTGTTTGGTTGTCGTTGTTTTGTCCAGGACCTTTCTCTTACTCATGGAAAACTTGATCCTCATACCATTCCTTGTGTCTTCTTGGGTTATCCTTCTTCCCAAAAGGGCTATCGATGCTTTGACCTCGTTTCCAAGAAGTACTATGTCTTTATGGATGTGTCTTTCTTTGAAACTGATCATTTTTTCCCGGTTTATCCTTAGGGGGAGAGTAAGGTGGAGGAGAAATCAATTCAGGTTCAGGTTCTTCCTCCTTTGCCTGACCCTCCTTCATTCCGTTTTTTCGTCATTGCAAGAGCCAACTAAATTCGAGAGCTGTGGAGTAACTTGAAACCGTACCGCCAACATCATCAAATTCACTGGGGACAGATCATATCCAACCAAGTACTATCGTCCCCATTGATGTTCCTGATCCTCTTGTCATAGAAATTCCATCTGGCAATGACCTTGACATTCCTATTGCAAAAAGGAAGGGAGTTAGGTCTTGTACCACCAAGTATCCTATTACCCATTTTGTTACCTATGAGAACATCTCACCCTCCTTTCGTGCTTTCATTTCTTCCATTAATAGTGTCCCTATCCTAAAAAATGTGGCAGAAGCTCTCTTAGTACCTGAATGGACAGATGCAATGAAAGAAGAGATAAATGCTCTACATAAAAATGGCATGTGGGAATTAGTGGATCTTCCTAAGTGTAAGGAACCGGTAGGGTGCAAGTGGGTGTTCACAGTGAAACACAAAACTGATGGCATGATAGAAAAGTACAAGGCTAGGTTGGTGGAAAAAGGGTTTACCCAGGTATATGGTGTAGATTATGTAGAGACCTTTGCCCCAGTAGGCAAGATGAACTCCAATTAGAGTCCTTTTCTCCCTTGCAACAAATCTTGATTGGGATCTTCATCAGTTAGACATAAAAAATGCCTTTCTGAATGGAGACCTTGAGGAAGAGGTATACATGGTTCAACCTCCTAGCTTTAGTGTCCTAGGCAAAGAGCAAAAAGTGTGCAGATTAAAGAAGTCTTTGTATGGTTTGAAGCAATCACCGAGAGCCTGGTTCAGCAAATTTCATCTGGCTATACAGAAGATTGGCTACAAACAATGTCAGATTGACCATACTCTATTTGTGAAAAGAGGGGAAGGAAAGATTGCAGCCTTGATAGTGTATGTTGACGACATGGTGATCATAGGTGATTGGAAGGCTGAAATTCAGAGACTAAAAGATTTCTTAGCCACTCAATTTGAGGTGAAGGATTTAGGTCCCCTTCGATATTTCCTTAGAATTGAAGTGGCCCGCTCTCAAAAGGGGATCTTCATTTCTCAGAGGAAATACATCCTAGATCTGTTACAAGATATAGGAAAACTAGGGGCTAAGTCAACCGACTCTCCCATTGATCCAAATCACAGACTGGATGACTACTGTGGTGAAGTTGTCAAAGATGTAAAACAATTCGAGAGACTTGTGGGAAGGCTCCTGTATTTATCCATAACCAGGGCAAACATTGCTTATGCAGTAGGTGTTCTTAGTCAGTTCATACATGCCCCTAAGACCACACACTCAGAGGCAGCAGAAAGAATACTCAAATACCTGAAGAGGTTTCCTGGAGCTGGTTTGTTATACCAAAAGAATGGTCATTTGAAGATTGAAGTATATACAGATGCTGATTGGGCTGTATCAGTTGATGAAAAAAAGTCTACTAATGGGTATTGTTCCTTTGTGGGAGGAAACCTAGTGACCTAGAAAAGCAAGAAACAAAGTGTGGTAGCAAGGTCAAGTGCTGAAACTGAATATAGAGCAATGTCCCATGGGGTGGCTGAAGGCATGCAAATAAAGAATTTGAGCGAACTGGGTTTTCCATTTGATAGTCCTATGTCCTTGTATTGTGATAACAAGGCTGCCATCAATATTGCAGCCAACCCTGTTCTTCATGATAGAACTAAGCATATAAAGGTTAACAAACACTTCATTAGAGAGAAAATTGTTAATGGGGAAGTGTACACCCCATATGTGAGTTCCAAAGAGCACCTAGCAGATATATTTACAAAAGGCTTGCATCACTCGCGGCACGATAATTTATGTGACAAGTTGGGCATGATTGATATCTACGTCCTAACTTGAGGGGGAGTGTTGAAATAACTTAGTTTTATTTTAAGTTTAGTGCCGCAAGGGCACCTTTGTGATTTTCTCCTTTATTTTTTATGAATGGTCCCTGTAGTATATATACCAAAATAAACTGGTGCCACCAGTTGACTTTTGCCTCTTTCAATTCTGTCTCTCTTCTCCCTTCTCCTTCTTCTCTTCTCTCTGTTTTGGAATCACACCATCTCAGCACCAAGAAAACAGTCTCTTACTTTCTAGGTTTTCAAAAACAAAACCAACCATGTTGTTGTTGTACACCTCTTGAAGATCAGATAAGGTTCCACATAGCCTCAAGCCCCCTTTCCAAAAGATTTGGAAAAGCAACTAAAAGAGGAACAACTCAACATTTAGAATTGCAAGTACTGAACCAGAAAGAAAATCCTTGGTATGTCTACAACTTTGACCATATTGGTAATTGTCAACATAACACTCCATAATTGCTGAATCACTGAACTGAATTGCTTAGTCATTTGCCTTTTAGTGAGTAAACTATTGGAAAAGCTTCAATGTTCAAAAAGGCACGGATAACATGGATTTCAAAGCCCTCATCTGATTAATGATCTGCATTAACACAGAAGCCTAATTGGAGTTTGGATAAAGTAGGCATACTTTGAGTACAAAGAGTAAGCACAAGGTAAATTTTTTGACACCTGTCCAATGAATACCCCCAGCCTACCCTTGAAATGATTCAAAGCAGATTTCAAAGATTGGCTTGTTGGTTTATTCCAGCGTTGATGCGGAATCAAATCTCACAACCAGCACTTCCGGGAAAAAGGGGTCAAAGGAGTTATTAATGGTGCATAGCATGGTTTTCAAAATTGGACCAGACTAGACAGGACGGTTGGACTGGAAAACCCGGGAGTCGGTCAGGTGATCGATTCCATTTTACCCCAAAACCGTTATTTCGCCAAAGCCGTTGATTTGGTCAGCAAATCGCTGACTTGAGCGGTCGAATCATCCAACGGTTTTGGCCATTTTTATTTTTTTATTTTTTTGTCAGAATGGACCATCCATTCCGTTCGAACGTTAGGACTATTTGACCCGAGAACTGGACCCTTGACCCGTTCGTTGTCCGATTTGGTTTTAAAAACCTTGGTGGATAGCACCAAATACCAAAAAAGGATACGCATCCAAACATTCCAGCCACTGCCCAGAGCCTTTTTGTGGCAACCCTCCAAAGCTTAGGGAGATTATGAAAATTGGATCTCCAACAATTCATCCCGTTCTACTCCATGGTTTGGTCAACAAGGTCTCTAGTCCATAAATCAGTTAACTGGTGCATGGTAATTTCGTGCGACAATGTCTACCAATCTTCACGTTTCGTCAAAGATTTTCTGTTAGAGACCTCTTATTTTCCAGTCCATTCTTTATTTACCTTTTCAACAAGAAAGGGAAAATGCCCTAAATGAAGATCATGAACAAAAAAGGCAATACCCTATAAGCTTTTGAACCATACTTTCAATGTAAAAGGGACGGAAAACTTTTCGGTCGGAAATATTTCAGCTATTCTTTTTGCCCCTTCTTTCTTACGGAGAAATTGGGAGCCAAATTTTCCACCCCTTCTACATCTACATAGAACAAGCAACGCAAATACGAAAAAATTGAGGGGAAAAGACAGTACCAATTTCTCGAATCCCAACCGGAAATTCCACCAGCTTTCTCCATGGCTTTCTTCCATCTGAGGACCTTGTCTTTTCCAAAACGTTGCTCGAGGTTCCGGAAGTCCATCTCGAAGGGCCCGTTCTGCCGCCGGACATGAGAGGGATCGACTCGGTAAAACACCGGAAGCAAGTGTCGCCGGCGTCGCCAGCATTCAGTGATTCTGGCTAGCTCTTCCAGACACCAACTCGAAGAAGCGTAGTTCTCTGATATCACGGCGATTGACACCGCCGATTCCTTGATGGCAGTGAACACCGTCGACTTGATCTCCTCATCATCACTTTCCAACTCTTGGTCATACCAGAACGCACGGATGCCATTGGCTAGGAGCTTGTTGTAGAGACATCCGGTGAAGTTGTGTCGAGTATCGACGCCTTTGAAATTCAGGAAGACGTCCCACCGAAAGACGGGGCACTGAGTTTCCTCCTCCTGCTCCACCATTGCGCCTCCTTAGATTTCCTTCCCCCCTGTTTCTTCACTTCTAACTACCAGGTTAAACTACTGGGGTTACTCTCTCTGCTACAACTAGATTAACAAGACTAGAAGGAGAAGAAGTAAATGCAGAGTCCCCAGCAAGGGATTTGTGTGCGTCGTTCTATTGAAGCCATCCCAAACCAGCTTTGATTTGAACTAAATGGCTCAGGATCTCTTTCTGTCGTAGCTAAACACCTCTGCAACTCAGATAGGAACTTGGCCAATGAACTGAGTTCCGGCCTCTCGTTGCTTCAGGTCAACGCAACGCAGAATCCGATTTTTTTCTTTTTCCTATATTTTTTTTAATTTTTCGGGTATAATTCGATTCTTCAGCGTTTGACTTTACATGACAATAAGATATTGTCGCGTTTATCGGGACGTTCCTGATGCATTGTCCTTTTGCTGATGTATTGACGGAAAGACCCCAAAAGGCGTTGGGTAAACGATTTAAACGGTAAAACCTACCGTGATATTTCATCTAAATACCAAATATTTTCTCACAAATTGCACTTCAGACTTTTCTTGTTAGATTTACAAACGGATAAATAAAATGATTATATACTTGAATTTAATTTGGGATTAAGGCTCTGTTTGGTTCACAGGAATAGAGTCCGGAACCCAAATCGTAATGGGCTATTTCATGGTTTTCAAAACCGGACTAGACCGGACGGTTAGGCCGGAAAAAATAGGAAATTGGTCAGGTGATTGGTTTTGGTTTTCCCCCAAATTAGAAATTTGCTCAAAACTGTTAATTTTGGTCAGAAACCGCTGACTTGGCCAATTAACCGTTCGAACCGTTTTGATCATTTTTTATTTTTTTGTTAGATTGGGCTGACTGTTCGGTTTGAACGGTCAGACCATTCGACCCAGAAACTGGACATTTAACCGGTTCAACCTTTGGGTCATTTTTAAAAACTATGGGCTATTTTGATTCCAAATGTTTGGTTGGGACTTAGGTGGAATTAGAATCTCATTCCCATTCTCACACCAATGTGGTATTCCCCCATTTGAAGGAATGGTCATTCCTTGCCCCTCCTTTAGGGAATAAAATCCCATTCTTGCCGAATCCAATTTCCATTCCCATTCTTATTTGAACCAAACGGATTACGGGAATAAATCATTCAGATTCTGATTATGAAGGATTTTGATTCCAATTCCCACTACAAGTCAAACAGATCCTAGATTGATTATAAACAGATAAATAAAATGATTAGTATACTTGAATTTAATTGATTTGTAATTAATTTAAGAAAAAATTATCAGCTTCAACGTTTCAGCAGAGATCGGCTTGAGTGAGTGCAACATCCGTCCGAACGAGTTTAGCTTCAATTAGTGGAAACCCATGATTACACCCTTCAAACAACCTCTCGGAACCTTGCATTGGGAATATCTCCCCATTAAATAAAGCACATAAGAACTCAAATATTCTCAATGCAAAGCTGTAAGGGCTGTTCAAATGTGCCTTGCGCTGTAGCTGATTCAACCTTTACAGCCTTGCATTGGGAATATCTCGGTAGTTATGTGCTTTATTTCATGGGGAGATATTCCCAATGCAAGGCTATGAAGGTTGTTCGAACTGACCTTGCAGTGAAAACTTTCACCACGGATGGAGTTCTTACCTGTAAAATAATTAAAAATAATCTGAAATAAGAAGTCTAACTACAAAAGAGTACATTTTACATTCACATTGTTCGTGTATATTTAAAAAAAAAGTTTGAAAAAATTACAAAAAACAGATTTTTTTTATTTATTTAGTTTTTATAAACAAGACCCTTGTTGCTTTTTTTCAACCAATTAAGCAGAGATAATAAAGGGCAAAATAAAAATTTTAAAATAATTAAAGTCTTAAACCCATTATGTGTCAACACACATACATATATATATATATATATATATATATAAAGTTGTAAACCATATATATTTATCCAAATCCAGGTCCAATAAGGACATTCGAATTTGACCCATCTATAATTGAATCGAAAGTAGACCCACTTCAAATTCAATCTCATATAAGAGCATGCATTATGCACGTGTTTGTAGATAAGTATATATTTATGGTATTTGAATTTAAATTTTATGACTTGTACAAAACTCAAAATACAAGTATTTATAGATAAAATTAATAATATGCTGAATTTGGATGTTGTTTCTTTAATAATTATAATGTATATAATATATATTCTGATTATTCTGTATAATATCTGATTTTTTAATTTAAATTATTAATAATATTTAATTCTAGATCCGAAAAGAGATTATTTGGTATGAATCAAATATTAACATCGGGATGTAGGCTTAATATATCCTAAGGTTGACTATAAATGAAGAAAATACAAAAGATATTAATGGATAAATTGCTTAAACTATAATTTTCTTTTAAGCCAACAAAAGGCAATTTCATTGTGTTTAGCATAATAAGCCTTTATTAGTGGTGCAACTCGGGTGGGTTGAGTCGGTTTGATAGCTATCTCAGGTCCAACTTTAAAAGGTGTAAATCTCAGACTTGCGTTTGGTCCATCCCAAGGTCAAATTCGAATTTATCAACTTAAACCTAATCCAATTTTAACCCAAATCAATTCAGGTTAGTTTTAGGCTTGGGTTAGGTTAGATTGGGTTTGGGTGGCCTAGTTGGTTTAATTTAAAGGAATTTATGAATATTTTTATATAGTCATCTTTTATTGGGCCTTGTGGCCTAATTTAAAGTAGAATTGATTGAAACTATATACAAATTTCATTTACAAATCCATATATACATGTTGCCGCACGGTTTGTTCGAGGTCAATGAGGTAAATTTATTCTTCAAGTTTCAATATTGTGCGAGGATCACGAGGTTTTGGAAGAGGTTGACCGAAGTCGAGGACAGTAAACCGAGGCGAGGACTATGGTAGCCAAGGACTACAGTAGCCAATGACTACTGGCTGGGGCGAGATCCCTGGTGACATGAGGCACTACAAGACAGAGAGTATTAGAGGCCTTGGGGTGGATACCTAAGGCAGAGGCTCCGATGCTCAAGTTAGTACAAGGTGCGAAGCTAGAGAGAATGCGAGAGTGCTCCTGGAGTATGTCCTCGGATGCACCAGATCTCCTAGAATTAATGCTTGGCAGGGGTAAATGAGTGAGTAAATGTTGGAGTTACTCTGTTTTATCCCCTTTTCAGGGGCAGTTATCTCTTATTTATACTTGAGCGTGCTGGTGGTAGGTAGAGATGAGTGCCTTGGATGAGAGCCATACGAGGTCAGACTACAGGCCCTGGTGGTACGCCGGATAGTTAAGTGATGGCTCCGTACGAGAGCAGCAAGGCTCTCGCCTACTGTGGCTGATGTTAGTAGGCATTAGTGGGCTAGGCCCTCTAGCCCTATGTGGGTTGGGCCAAGCTAACCCACACCACTTGCCCCCCACTCCCGAGACTAAGGTGAGGCCTTAGCTTCTGCCTGTAACAAGGGTGGTTGTCGAAGAGCACGGTGGAGGCGCCGAAGAAGCCAACAATCGAGGGAGAAGCACCTAAGAAGCCCACCACTCGGGAAGAGGCGTTGAAGAGGCCCGCAGAGTGGCCCGAGGCGGGAAAGAAGAGGCCTACCGTAGATGCACCGAGGGAGGAGCCCCCGCGAAAGCTTGCCAACATAGATAGGCAAGCCGAGGAGGTGGTGCGGAGGTCCGCACCTGGGGAGCGCTCGTCTGGACCTTCGTCATCCTCCCATTAGTACAGGGCACCTCCGAGAGGATTGAAGGGGCTGGAAAAACTTTCCTTCCCCAATTGCAGCTCCGAGAGGGGGACTCCATCCGCAACGAGGGGGTCAACTAGGAGTTGGTCAACGTGTCCATTCTGCCTAGGGATCACTACCGCCTTCTGCAAAGTGACCCCAAGGCTATCTACGACGAGGGCCTGTACCACTTGGCCAAGGTAAGACGTTCTTCAATGCTTCATCGTGTGTATGTTCATTTTATTTTTATTTTTTTTGTTTTCGCTGATCGGTTCTATGGCAAGCCTGTCTACATTCCATCGGCTTGGGGGACCGAACAAGGCTGGCCATGGGGGACCGAACAAAGCTAATGTGTCCATTGGATCTGCACCAATCTGGACCATTGCCTTGGGCGTCGTTTCATCTTCCGAGGGCCTGAGCTAGGTGGCACATTGCAGTTGGATGGCGGGAGAGGATTAGTTTTAGCTGTCGGATTGGATAAATCTTGGCTGTTCATTTTCCTTTAAATAGGGGCCCTGGCGGTGCCTTTCTTCTCCATTTGGACTTAGACGCCCTTGTTCTCAAGTGAACGTAGCTTCCTAACTCCCAAGTCTCCAGAGCTCCTTTGCCCCTTTCTTTCTTCGAGACACTCCATCCTTTTTAGGTAATCTCACAATGTCGTTTTCAGACTTTGGTCCCGAGTGCCATGAACTCTCGAACATTTCGGGAGGGAGCTCTCCTGCAACCCCCTTTCCCTTATCTTCCTTAGGTTCCTTAGCTGTAGTCCCCCATCGACGGGAGGTGGCCATTTTGAGGGAGAGGCTAAGCTTGGGGGGTGCCGAAGGCAGTCGCCGGGGAAATGGCTCTCCCCATGAAAGCTCCTCTTTGGCATTGCCAAGGGAGCCTGAGGGATCTCCTCTCTCTGAGGGTGATGCCGTGGAATTCGTTGCCGAACCAGTGGAGGGGAGTGTTGTCTGAAGGGTGGCTGATGCTGGCGTCCCACGTTTGGAGTTTGATAGCTCTTTAGCCGTGTGCTAGGTCAAATCACTGGCGAAGAGGTTCCATATACCTCGGTCTTACAACCTGAGGGTCCCCGACGTGCGCGATAGGCCGTGGACCCCTAAGGACGGGGAAATCTGCATCTACCAGCATTATTTAGAGTATAGTCTTAGGTTTCCCCTCCCGACCTTAATCTCCGAATTGCTGGAGTGGTACGACATCACTATCAGCTAGCTCGTACCTAATGCCCTCCGGACCGTCGTGACTATGATGGTGTGGGCTTGGCTAAGGGGAGTGGAGCTGACATTGAGAATATTCTGTGCCATGTTTGTGCTAAGGAAGCACGCTTCCAAGGCCAGCATGTACTACTTCCACCTGAGGAGAGGGAAGCCAGTGCACAACCCCTCTTCCGTTCACGGGTGGAAGGACAAGTTTTTCTACGTCTCCTACCCCAAGGGCTGGCGCTTCAGGTCCGACTGGGGGGAGGCCCATGTCGTCATCGAGAGATGTCCCCCACCGCTCTAAGACGAAGAGGCTGCAACAGTGGCTCATCTGCTTGTGACGGGGACATTCCAGGCTTAGC